TATGCCTCGACATCTGGCTCAAGTCAGCCATTTGAGTGCTAAGCAAAGGAGCGACTAAGGACCTCCGTCCACAGGTAGCGGCCTTCCTCTGGCGAGGGGACCACGATATTCAAAATGTCGCATGGGAGTCCCTCATACAGCGTAAATCTAGAGGAGGGCTTGGCATTTTAGACCCTACACGTCCAGTGGATCAAGAAGTTGGCTTTCAGCCCAGATGTACTGTGGAAAGAGCTAGCCTTGGAGCAAGTGGCCCGCTTGGCCCCATAGTAAGCTCTCTGTAGACCCGCCCAGACGGACAGAGGACCGCTACTGGGCCCTTCTACGAAAAACAAGAAATCAGCATGACCAACAGGACAGAAGGGCAGCCAGGCAGGACGTGCACAGTGATGACTTCTGGCTCACCCTCTCGAGAACATGGAGGCAACTCCCCATCCCGAACAGATCCCTTCCTTCCCGGTGGCAAGAAGTGCTCCGGCAAAGCCTTTTCGGTAATCCGTGGATTGCAGACAGTCACAGCCAAATCCTTCGGAGTCCGAACCTCCCATGGACTGGGTGGGTAAGAAACGGGGTAGTCAACGACCTGTGGGATACCGCCAGGAAGGAGCGGAAGACGACACAGCAGCTACGAGCGGAGCTTCCCTTCGTACACAAATTGCAGGGAACCTTGAGACCCAGCTGTTCTCCATCCCACAGGCATGGATGATCAACCTTAGGAAAGGCCCCACTTTAGAGGAATCTGATTGGGTGGCAACCAAGGGGAAGGAACAGTGGATCGGCAATGTGATAGAGCCCCCTTCAAACAAAGTTCGGTGGGGAAAAAGGGGGATGGATAGCTGCAGTGGAATAGCCAGGGAGCGTGGGCAAAGGGGCACCCCTCAAAAAGGATTACAAGCAGCATTTTCTTGATTGCATGAGGATAGGAGGATAACTATTGACTCCCCAAACGGATTTCCCTGAGATATTTCCCCCTCTTTGCAAGCCCTCATACTCGTGAAATGGTATGGTATCGATGACTTAGGCACATGATCAGTCACTTTTAGTCATCCCACAAGCTACAGTAGGCATAGGCCTCTGCTATATATAGCAGCATCTGGCGCCCTCATCAGGCTGAAGAGGGCAGAGAGTTTCTTGTCATACATTTTCCAGCATTATCAATAACAAGTGGAACCCGCCACGGCTATGCCGTGGTGCACAGCAACACTCGCTGATGGCGTTTTATTTTTGTTTCATGTCTCTCTCTCTCTCTCTCTCTCTCTCTCTCTCTCTCTCTCTCTCT